AATCCACTCACCTCAGCCTCCCAAAGGCGCGGGATTACAGGCTGCGCCACCGAGCCCGGCTAACATTTTTTCTTTTAAAAACACACAAAACCCAGCAGTACAACAAAAAGCACAAATTTAAAAATACAGTTTAGCAATTACTGACATAGCATTGAAAAATATTAGGTGTTGTAAGTAGTCTAGAGATGATTTAAACTATACGGGAAGATGTAAATTGTATGCAAACACGGCTCCATTTTCTGTGAGGGAGGTGAGCGTCTCGAGTTTTGATATCCGCGGGAGTCCCGCAACCAATACTCAAGACACCAAGGGAGGACTGTGGTTTCTCTCAGCACAGCTCTGACAGTGTATTAAGATTCACTGACCTCCATGAAAGGACTTGGCAGTCTGAGACCAATTTTCCTAGGATCTGACTTCTCCTGGGTGAGCTGAAACATGGCGGCTCGGTCCAACAAATTAGAGGCTAGACTAAGGAATTGTGGCGAACTTTCCTCCCTTCCCCCTCCGCACACGTAGCCCAAGTGCCGCTGCCTTGGAGATGCCTCCCGAGCTTCAGCCCCATTCTCGGAACCGCTTTTCCTGCCGTTTTCTGTCACCACGGTTCGGAGTCCTCTCGGCGGGATTAGATCCGGCGCTGACGCTCTTTCCTCCCCCACCTCTGGCCTCCATTTACTCTCCTCTGGCTTCCACCAGAGAGAGACCTTTCCCGTCGGCCTCGTTTTAGTGCCTTCGGGAGTTCCCAGACGCAGGGCGAACGGGCGAGAACCACTGCAGAATACGAAAGCTCCGGGCTGGGATCTGAATTCTCTCGGGGACTATGGCACATCGACCTCTTAAAGGAGAGAGGGGAGGGGGCAAAAAAGCTAAGAGAAACGTGAGGGTAGAGGAAAGAGAAATGACGCAATGTATGGGGGGCGGGGATAATTTAGAATGCTTCCCGCCGGCGCGCTCGCGGTCTTCAATCTGGTCCGATGCTCTTGTATATTAGGAGGAAGCCGCTCTCACTGGGTCACAGGCTGTCTTTGGAGGTTGCAGCGGTCATGTCCGGCCGAGGGAAGGGCGGAAAAGGCTTAGGCAAAGGTGGTGCGAAGCGCCACCGTAAAGTCTTGAGAGACAATATCCAGGGCATCACCAAGCCTGCGATTCGGCGTCTTGCTCGGCGTGGAGGTGTAAAGCGGATCTCTGGTCTCATCTACGAGGAAACCCGCGGTGTGTTAAAGGTGTTTCTGGAGAACGTCATCCGGGACGCGGTCACCTACACAGAGCACGCCAAGCGCAAGACAGTCACCGCCATGGACGTGGTGTACGCGCTCAAACGCCAGGGGCGCACCCTGTACGGCTTCGGGGGCTAGGCTGCTACTTCAGCTCTGCGTGTTTCAATCCCAAAGGCCCTTTTTAGGGCCAACCATGTGGTCGTCAGAGGAGCTGGGCACTTGGCCGAAAAGTGCCCAAGTGTAACGGTGAACTTGGGAGGTAATCTTAAACTTGTTATTGGGGCTACAGTCGGTTCCGAAAACGTACCGCGGGGCCAGCGACGCCTGTTTTCCGAAGGCCCTAAAGACTCAAGGGTGACCTTTCGCTTGTATGTCTGAGTTGTTGCCGTTTAGTGGCTAGAAAGGTTGGCGTGCTCTAAGTTTAACCACCACACCGGTTTGCTTTTGTGTAGGACTGGCTTATTTGGAAGAGCGCACAAACATTTGCGATCGCTGGAACAGGCTCTGCGTAGAAAAACTAGCGGTTTATGCCAAGGTCAAGTTGTAATTTCTTTGTATCTACCCAGGCAAAACTGTTCCAACTGCTCTAGATTTAATCTAGAGATGCCGGTTCTCCATCTGATCTATTTGAATTTTGTCAGTTAACCTCTTCCGGTTTCATTTTCCAGGTCAGATGCATTAAGGGCTCGTTCCCATTGGATGGTGTTTTGTGACGTCTACTCTGTTCCCCTCTAATAAAGCTGTGTGACTTGCTAAATGAAATTTAGCAATCAGTCTTGTAACAGTTTCAAAATTTCTAGCAAGTTACCTGCCCAGCGCATGAGCAGTATCTTAAGTTAAAAAAAAAAGGCCCTGAGCTATAATGTCTTTCAGTTGTGGCATTGCAGGGATACAGATGCAGAGACATTTGAGTAATCCTTCAAAAAAAGTGAGCGTACAGAAGAAGGAAATCTTTAAGAAACAATCCAGATATGTGACTTTTACCTTGTAGTGCCTAGCCTATTGGAGTTTAGAATAAGAGACCCACAGGAACACACATATCTACAGAAAGTATAATTTAATTTTAGCAAGGCAAAAGCAAATTATTATGTAAGCATGACAAAGAATACAGAAAGCCATTCTCTACCACTTACTGCTTTGATTTGGATTGAAATGTGGATTCACACATCTAATGCTTAAGATTGACTATAGTTTTGCAGCTATTACATTTGCATGTACAATTTTTGGCATTCTAGGCTTATGATCTTATATGAAATTTGGCCATATATGTAAAAGAAGAAATTCTATGACAATTCCCCCAAAAATTCCCCCCAAAATTTATTTATGGGTCTTCACATGTGGCTGCTCTCACCAGCATCAAACACTAGAGGATGAACTAGATTTGAAACATGGTGCTCAGCAATAGAGATGCCAACAAAGCAAGGATGCAAGACTTGCCCTCCAGGAACTTACCATCAGAACCGGAAGGCAAATGCATCATACGTACATATATATATATATATAAATAAATAGCCAAATGTATAAGGCAGCACATATTCAGTGTAATGAGAAACGTAGACATTAGTTACGTTTTGGAGTCCTAATGCTCCAAAAGTCACTGGCTGCTGGGAAATTGAGGAGAGCTTGGTCATGAAGGTGGGCTTGTGTCTGGCTTTGAATAAAGAGCAGAGTGCCTGGCATTCTACTGAGATATATAGTATAGGGGTTGAGGAACGGACAGGGAAGAAGCAGCAAGAACATTTGTGAAAACATCCAGGTGAGAAATAAAAGACTCATGCTCAGCATGTTTCATTTTCCCTTTTAAATCTCACCTGCAGTTTATAGAATTTCTATTTCAAATACCACTGATTTTTTAAGTTTAAAGGCAATGCAGATGAATATGTTCCTCATTGAGACACTCTGAAGAAGGAGCTATCAAAAGTTTGGAGAGAAATCAAAGAATAAAGACAGAGAGTGGGGTGGAAAATATAGCCATTGTTTAAATTAGTGGCTTTCAAAGTATAGTCTCTAATCTAGCAGCATTGATCACCTAGGACAAAATCTTGGACCCACCCCGGACATATTGAATGAGACCTGGCAATTTGTGCTTTGACAAGCCCACAGGGTGATTCCGATACACATTAAGATTTAAGAACCACTGATCTAGGTAATAGCTTTTCTCTAAATAAAAAGGTAGTTAGAATCTGAATATATATGTTGCCCCAATTTGTTTACCATAATGCTAAATTTTATCTTCTTTGATGGAAAGGGAAGCAAGCAGATAAATTATCATACTATTATAGGAGAAAAAAAGTAAAGTGACCTTATTTCCTCAAAGCACTTGGGGCACACATAAAAGGTGTGAATAAAAAATGTAACCCTTTTGTTTTACTAATTATTACTGGTTTGTACTTTTAATAGACATTAATTTTGTAATCAATGGATATGTTTTCTTTTTTCTTCCTAAATTTATACATTGTTTTATACATCTTCTTTACTTTAATAGTAGCCCTTGCTCCCACCTTGTCAATTCCCCTAAATACTATTAAAATATGGCATGGCTGAATCCTCTGTTAGCTGCGTTCAGCCTCTAAATATTGCCAAATTACAGAATATACAGTTATATATCTTTTTTGCATTAGTAAATGTTCTTTTTTCTTAACCATCTGTAACAGTGAGGCGTATAATTTATTGTATCTCTTTGGTTTGCTAACAAAATAATTTTCTTCCATTCCGCTCCCTGAGTGACTCAGGTGCTCTCCATGAGCCAGCCCCTGGCTGCCATGTCTTTCCCTCCCTGGTGAATTTGGGAGTTCCAATAAAATAATTATAGAGTTCAGTCTGTGGGTCTGCTTCCATTACTATGATCACAGAGGCACTTGAGTATCCCACTGGCTAATAAAACTTCACTTGGGCCAGTTGGATATCTTATCTTCCCTTTCCAGGTTCCCCACTTCTCTGACTAGCAGTGTTATCTTCCCAGACACCCAGGATAGACGTTCCTAAGGCATCTCTCACTACATTCTCATTTTCTTCCTTTGAAACTTTTTACTCTGCACTTTATATTCTACCTATTAATGTACATATTATTTCTCCACTTGCACCAAAAGAATTGAACTCTCATTTATGCAAAATGTTGCTAGTATGTATAAATATGTATGGATATATAGATAATTATCAGGAAAAATGTTCACAAAAATTTAAGAATAATTTATAGCTGTTTACTTTTGTTAACTTCATTGAACATTTCTGATTTGTTTTAAAGTGTTGAAATAAGCATGATTATAATTTTCCCAAAAATAATCAGAAGCTAGACAGATAAATGATAGATAGATAGATAATCTGGATTTAAGGTACCATGGCAAATCCTAGTTTTGCCAAAGTTGAGCTTTCCCATCATTAGTGTTGCTGAGATTTCCTGTCTTTCTTACAGAAATATTTTAAGGATCAAATGAAAAGTTCTATGTGAAAGAAGATTGAAACTGTGAAGTGTCATAGAAACCAAAGATCATATATTTACTATTTACTGCCTGTTTAACCCAATCTGGTTCTGATCTGCTCTATAATCGCTGAGGATGGGAAGGATTGACTGTATCTAGAACTTAGAACACTGGAGACGGTGGGTCATCCTAAAGAATCAAATAGACTCCCTAGCTAATTTGACTGTTTTGACAATGTGTTAAATGTATTATTTAAGACTATTCAAATCCTCAGAACATGATGTTTCTTCAGTTTCAATAACTGATACACCATGATGCTCCTGAATTTTACTAAAATAGTTGTCTAAAATTTGCAAATCTCAAATAATCTGAAGATCTAATAAAGTATTTGTCTTATGTATTTAATAGAACCATAGACTATTAGTACTAGAAAGGACTCACAGATCATCTGGCTCAATTTCCTCATTATATCCTCCCCCCCATCAGATCTCTAAGTGATAAAAATGTTCCTCACAGGCCTATATCTTATGCCATTGCCAGTTGACAGACAGCTCTGACCCAATGTAGCCTAAAGTGAAGTCTTCACCAGCTCCTCCTTGTAGGCTACTTATTCCTGTGAAGGTGGCATCATTCTCCAGTCAATCAGGCAGGAAGACCTAGAGTCATCCCCTTTCTCCCCTTTCCCAACCCAGGTTCAGGCATCTTCTATGTGCAATAAAGTCAACAATTTCCCTCCCATCCATTGCTGTGACTGATTTCCTTTTTCTCACCTTCAGCACCTCTCATCTGCTGTTTATGTCTCTGTGATCTGAGACTAGACCTCCTGCCTCAGGTGCTGCTCGTTCCTCATTCTATTTGCACCCTCCACCCAGATTAACCTTCTTAATACACAGCTCTATGTTACTCACCTACTTTAGACACTACCTTCTACTGTTTTTCCTTTTTATTGTTCTTTTATCCTTTTTTCTTGGCCTTTTTTCATCCCTTTTTTTTTTTTTAAGTTTTCAAACAAGTTTATTTAGAAAGTAAATGAAAGAGAGAGGACCTTCACCTCCCCAAGGTAGGCGAAAGGGCCAAAGCTAAGAAAACATGGCCTGGCCAGCGCTTGACAAAACAATGGCCCATCCTGTTTAAGGTGTCTTTTTGTTTCTATGTATGATTGCAAAATATATTAATATATTTTAATTTAATTTATATAAATAGAATTGTTTTCAACCTCATTGCATTGATTATCATTGCATTGATTTCCCCCAGAACTATAGTTTAAGATCTGTCCTTGTTAGGTGTTGCTATAGTCTGAGTGGGTCTCCTTAAAATGTTTATATTGAAATTTAATCACAGGTTTGATATAGTATTAAGAGGTGGGCCCAGCCGGGCTCGGTGGCTCAGCCTGTAATCCCACGCCTTTGGGAGGCTGAGGTGAGTGGATTGCCTGAGCCCGCGGGTTCGAGACCCGCCTGGGCAGCGAGACCTCATCTCTACAATAAATCAAAAAATCAGCCAGTCGTGGTAGCGCGCGCCTGTAATTCCGGCTACTGTGAAGATTGAGAGGGAAGGATCGCCGGAGCCCAGCAGGTCGAGGCTGCGGTGGCCAGGAGCGGCCACTGCACTCCAGTCTGGGTGACAGAGTGAGACTCCAACTCAAAGAAAAAAAAAAAGAAGAGGTGGACCCTTTGGGAGATGATTAAGTTGTAAGGTAACTGCCCTCATTAATGGAATTAGTGACCTTATAAAAGAGGTTCAACGGACCCTTATACCATGTGAGGACCCACAGATGGTGCCATCTGTGAGGAACAGGTCCTCACCAGACACTGAATCTGCTGGTCTTGATCTTGACTTTCCAGCCTCCAGAAACACCTGGAGTAAATATCTTTGTTTATTAATTACTTAGTCTAAAGTATTTTGTGGTAGTACCCCACATGGACTGAGACAGATGTCCACTTAACCTCTTACTACTGCAGAGTACTCCATGAAGTGTATCTACCACATTGAATCTGTCGAGTCTCCCGGTAATGAATGCCCATATTGATTCCAATGTCACATCATTTTTTTTTTCATGTTCCCTGATATAGCTGTGTGAGAATTTCTTTTGAATAAATATTCAGGAACAGAATTGCTGGTTCCTATGATCTATGTATCCTTAATTAGCTTAAGAAGTACCAGGCAACTGGAACCCCTCTGAAAGTTCATTGAAAAAATCAACTCACAAAGGCAGATTAATTGGAGAGATGGCATATAAATTTATTTGATGTGTATACATGGGAGCCTTCAGACTGAAGACCCAAACCCCTGATGGGATGCAGAAGCTTTTATACCATCTTGAGGTGACAAAAAGAATGGGAA